CTCTTTGTCCACCAACTTTAGGCAAGGATGTCTGCTCAAGAATAGTGCTTTTGTACTATTCACTGTAGCAAAGGACAAACCTTCATTTTAAGGCTTGACAAGCATTCTAAACCTACCATATTGCATTAAATGTTCATTTAATGCACTGGGTATAAATAGAAGTGTTTTTCTTCTCTTTGCAGAGTGCGCGCATCACTCTTCGACCCAATTCTTACTTCAAGCATCCTCTAGCTTAAGTAAATGTTCTATCATATAGCATTCTCTTTTTTGTGTTTGCTATAGCTTCGTGTGTAACCAAAGATTGTTTAGATAGGTTTTTCTTTACCTTATCTTTCCGCAAACAGTCTTGTAAAATCTGTATTGATCTTCTCTATCAATATATATTTTAAATTTAAAAACATTGTGTTTGTATTCATCCCCACCCCTTCTACAAACTGTTTCTTATCTTGTAGACCCTTTCGGGACCAACAAAAGTATTATATGAAACAATTTCACAAGATTAAACAATTTCATGAAAAAATTTCATAAGATTAAGACGGATGAGAGTAGTTTTTACAAATTGGAGTGGTTTTTATTTGAGCGCTCCTCTATATATGTATATATATAGCATGTGTGTATGTAATGGCTTAAAAATAAAATTGTAATTAAAATGTCGTTTACCAAATGTTAATCGAATTAATCTAATGGGTAACAATTACCACCTTCATTTATCTTATCGGGTAAGATACTCGACCATCAAAATAACATACTAAGATTAATAGTAAAGATTTTTTACCCAATAAAAACTAACTACACATGAATCATCCACCTCATTCACTAAATAAGATTTTAAATTTTTATTATATCTTTTATTAATAAGATTCTCAATACTTCCGATATTATTCGATGACATAAATAATATAGCAAATGTTTATCCCCTTAACATTTAGAGACCGTTTACTTAAACACTTATCCGATAATCACTTATCGGTAAAATTCAACACTATCGTTTACTTATCGGGTAAGATTTTATTCACTAAAACACATCGTACGTAACAATTTATCCCGGTAAGCGCTAACCATGGTAAAAGTCGTCATCCTCATATACCGGTAAGACTCTTGATTCTTGTCTTCGCTCTTATTGGATAATATATTAATCCTCATTATATTCATCCAGTAAAGTAAAGTGACTTGACAAATGTTTACCTTAGTAATTAAAAAACCCCCTAAATAATAGGTTAGATATTTGTTTAATTAAGCCATGTGGTGTGTCCATGTGCCCTTCACGTGAGGCGTACCTTTTATATTTGTTTTCATTTTAAAAAATAAAAGTAAAATAATATTACACACAACAAAGTTAATGAGATATACCAAAAAGTGAAATAAAATAATAACAAAACCATAAAAATGAGAAACGTAAAATTGACGCCCAAAACAAAATCAAAGTCGTTACTTGTTATGAAATAACAAAAAGAAAAATAAGAACGTGGGGTCCTGGTTTTATTATATGAAAGTTGGGATGTTTGTGATGGTGACCTTCGAGTCTATGATTCCTTACACCGTTACGCGTCTCTCCTTTTATGCCATTCTTTTCCCTCTTCCCTTCCAAGTTCCATCCTTCGCCATTTTCGTCATTCTCCTTCTCCTTCACCTTCTCCTTCATATACATATATATACATACACTCCTTCTCCTTCTCCTTCTCCTTCTCCTTCAAATTCAAACACAATTTCATTGATTAAACAAGAGCAAACATGGAAATCGCTACAAACAGCTCCAATCACCACCGTCTTCTTAAATCCTCTTCCAACAACTCCTTCCGCCTCCGTTCTCCCAGCCTCAACTCCTTGCGCCTCCGCCGTATCTTCGACTTATTCGACACCAATCGAGACTCCTTCATCACCGTCGACGAGATCAGCCGCGCCTTGATACTCCTCGGCCTCGAGACCGACATCTCCGATTTAGATTCCATGATCAAATCCTACATCCGTCCTGGAAACGCCGGACTCACCTATGATGACTTCGTCTCCTTGCACAGATCCATCGACGACTTGGTGTTCGGCCTGGAGGATGTACAGGAAGCGGTGGGAAGCAAGGAGGAGCAGGAGGAGGCGGATCTAACGGAGGCGTTTAAAGTGTTTGATGAGAACAAAGACGGATTCATATCGGCGAAGGAATTGCAGGTAGTGCTTGGGAAGCTAGGGTTTACAGAGGCCAGCGAGATGGAGAGAGTGGAGATGATGATCTCGTCGGTTGACCGCAACCACGACGGACGCGTTGACTTTTCAGAATTCAAGGATATGATGAAGGTCCTTAAGTAATTCCGTTGTGGAAATTAAATTAAATTAAATTGGGAGCATTTTGTTTTAAATTTCCATATATTCGCATTTATTCTGGTTTTCCTTTTTCAAAATCCGTACAAAAAGTTTGGGAGAGAAAATATTAGAAATTCCATTGGATCATTTTATTATATTGATTTTATAAAGTGATAAATTAATATCTCAACTCACACACATTTCGTTTCCCTTTCTGTTTTAAAATTCTCTTACCATTAAAAAAAAAAAAAAACGTATTGAACGGTATATGATTTATTTGATGCAACTCATGAATCACATTACAATTTCATGAAAAACACATAATTTATTTCACATTCTTTTATCAAGCGTGAGATTTCTTCTTACACTTTTCAAGTAACTTATCTTCTCATTGGAATTCAACCCATAAAAATGTTTCCTTAAGAATTAAAGCACATAAATAATTTTTAATTCGACAAAATTGATAAAAATGTTGATCAATCTTTCTAATATTTTGTACTTACCGTTAATTAATCCGAAAATAAGTAATTTTGAAAGAAAATCTTCGTTGAGAGATTGTAATTGAAATTGAAAAGCATTAATTTTCAAAATAATAATATGAAATATTACCATATATTAAATAGGGTTTAGTTTCAGTAGAAAGGGGATTCAAAATAATAAGCATAAGAAGTGATTTCCGTTCTTGAATGTGCATTAGGATGAGATGTACCAGATCAATTCTCGTATCAAACACGATTCATGGATGTGTTTAAGATTAAAGGTAATCAAGGGTCCAGATTCATTGAAGAATTGTGCGAGGGGGCCATCGAACAACTGGAAAAAGCCCGGAAGCTTTTCACCTTAACTCTCTTTGTCGCACGATTTTTCGCCATATTAAATAATCATTACATATAATATAAATGAAATAAGATTAGTCAACCTTTAATATTAATCAATTAATAATTTCTAAAAAAATAATTAAACATTTTATTAAAATACTAATCAAAGTTTTATTATTTATGAAACAAAGAAATATAATTTTTACTTTTATATAACTTACAAAAACATTTTTAAAATTGTTATATTTGTTTTTGATGATTAAATATATTGAATAATAATGCTAATAAAAATAATTGATAAAATTAATAATTATTTTAAATAGTTAATAATAATGAATAATTTACAATGAAATTAACTAATAATTTGAAATTAATAATAAATAATAATTTATAGTTAATGTTTATTAATAATTAATATCAATCATGGAAATAACTGGTAAAAGTGGCAAAAAAAAATATCTGTAACTTATTGAAACATTGCTTCAAATAGTTTTATAACTCAAAAAATAAGGTAAGTTATGGTTGCAAAACATGACCTATGTTAGGGGTGTTTGCGGTCCGGTTTGGACGGTTTAACCCCTTAGACCACAAACCAAACCGTAATGACGGTTTATGAAATTTTCAAACCAAACGGTTTGAAATTAAGTGCCGTCAAATCAGACCACGAAAAATTGGTCTGGTCTGGCTGGTTTAGGCGGTTTGGGTCTTTAATAGACTTTAAACATTAAACTTAAGAAACATATATAAATATAATAATTAAACAGCTATTGGGTCTAAAATCCAAACAATTCAAAGTCCAAACAAACAAATATGTAATACAAACTAGAAAACAATGTCAAAACACTTACGGACTTAACAATCTTTAATTCTTGAGTCTTGAATTCTTGATCAAACAAAATAGAAGCCAAATCTTAGTGTTTAAAAAAAAGTCAAAACAATAATATGTAAAGTGCAAACAAAGTCCACAGCTTCACAATCCATAAAGATTCAATCATTTATCAAACATGAATGAGTAATCTGTAGAAAAAGTGACATCATATAAATGATAAAAGATTGTATGAAATGTGTGAAAGAAGTAGGGAACTAATCAAAACTTACGTTATAGCGATCCAACAACTTTCTAATCATTATCAAGACTCCCAACTTCAACCTTCAGATGGGGCTTCGATGGATTTATCTACTAAATTTAAAAATAAATTAGATAAACAACATAAATGATAATAACGTAATCTAAAATTGAAGTAATGTGAAATTAATTTAAATTGATTACCTGGTTCCATATTTTCGTAAATATCCATCTCTTCCAAAATAGAAGCCAAATCTAATGGCAAATTCGTGGATCTCAACCAATTTTGTCAACAAATCAAAGTTTCAACCATTGAAAGACTCAATGAACTCCAAAAACAATCAAGAACTCTCCCTCTGGTGCTAAAAGCAGACTCCGAAGCCACTGTTGATACTTGGACAACAAGAACATCTCGAGCCAATGCAGACAAAATAGGAYACTTTGATGACGCCACTTTCCATCATTCTAAAATACTGAAGTTCTTATTTTTCCTATCTTCACTGCGTTCACCTAGGTACCTTTCAAGTTCATTTTGCATGTTCAAAGAGTCATCTTCATCACATTCTTTGTCAAACTCAGATTCAAACATCTTGACTGAATCTTCATCATCAGAGTCTACTATTGGCACATGATCTTGTGTTTGATTAACACTGCCTGCTTGATGCTCTACTTTAAGCTCACTGGTATAATGAACTACTAGCCTTGAAAAATAACTTTTAATGGAATCCGTGATAATGGTAATTTCATCCTCACTATAAAGTTGTCTCAAACAAAATGTAATGTATTTTAATTTGTATCTCGGATCAAGTACAATAGCCACATAAAGAATCACACTTTTTTTGTTCGTGATCCCCCAATAATTATCAAATTTCTTTTTATCCTTAAAGCCATTTGTTTCAAGTTCTCTTTATCACTTGAACACCATCTGTTAATCAACCCATGAACTAGTGACAACTCGTGAAAATAAACATTTGAAGTAACATGCAAAGAAGCACTAAAACTTTAAAGTGACATCATAAAAAACCTTCAAAAACTTACAAAACATGGCACATTGCCCCCAATCCTTAGACGTCGGTGGCCTAAGCGACTTTTTTCCATTTCTATCATCTAAAGTATTGAATGAAGTAATCATCCTCTTCTTCTAATAACTTAAAAGCCTCCTCATATTTCAAAGCATGATCTAACATCAAATATGTGGAGTTCCACCTAGTAGGCACATCCAAACAAACAAGTGCTCTATCTTCTTTACATGTATTTTTTACACAACTTTTAAATCTTGCTAACCTAGAGGGGGAAGATCTAACATACCTAACGAATAGCAGCTACAATATAGTCCATTTCTTTCAATCCATCATCCACAATTAAGCTTAATATATGGGTTGAACACCTAACATGCAAGAATTCACCATTACAAACCGCACTCTTCCAAATTTGCAATCTTTTCTTGATATGTTGAACAACCCCATTGTTAGAAGAAGCATTATCGACAGTGATAGTGAACACCCTCGTCAGAATGGTCGGTAGCTACTTAGTCTCAACCGAGAGTCTAATCTCCTTATACTGCTTTTTTTTTCAAAGAAAAAAGGTCGACTTAGGCTCCTTCCCTTCCACCGCATAGCTACGGTAGCAGGTACTACGAGACCTCTGTCCCACATATTTAACCGACTCGCGTTGTAACACCTCATAACTCACATTGCATATAACATATAATTCATTCAGATAATACATGTTTAATCCCACAAAGGTCCAAAGTACAAGAAGCTATATTACAAAATACACAACCCAAAAATTTCAAAATACATGCTCTTGTACTACATGTCATTTATCTTCAAAACATAACAGCAAAAAGATCTTCACATAGTTATGCATATAGGGAAACAAATCACATTTTCCCTTTTCCTTTACTATCATTATAATTTGTTGTTCCTGCAATACATATTTGAAACACAAAATGAGGGTTAGACCTGAAGGTCTAGTGAGTTCCTTTTTCCATGTAATTGCAGGGTGAAAGTCACCAAAACATTATTCAAATAAACCATTTCACATAATGGGACATAAATCCATATTCTGTTTTAGTCTATCGGTTCTCTGGTTCCAAGGACCAGACTTAGAAAATATTTTTACTAGGTAGCAGGACCAGAGCTCCTCTGGTTCCTCTACCAGAGCTTCTGGCTAAGCCAACCAAAGCTCTTACTCAAGTAAATTCTCATGAATGTACATAATCAAACACCATAGATAGTTAAAATAGTTTTTCCAGGTATAAAAGTATTCATTTAAATGTTTTAAAATAACCAGAGCTCTGGTTCTACTAGCCAGAACTTCTGGCTCAAAATACAAGACCAACCAGAGGCCTTCTGGTCCAACGCGCAGGCCAACCAGAGCCCCTCTGGTCTGTCCTTATTTGTACGAAAAGTGCTAAGTATGAAATCCATTGAACATCTTCTATGTAAGGCCCCAACCCACACATTGCATGTAACACATATTTCATATCAAAGAAATACATATTCATTTAACATTCGGGTCCCTTAGTACAAGAATCTA